TGCAATCTGCAATCTTACCACTAGATGCCAAGATAACCTCCCCAGTGGTCCTTTATTCACTGAATCAGACAAAAATTATTCTTCGACTTCCTGGTTATTTATCTATAAAATAGTTTCTCAATAGAAAATACAGAAGATTAACAAAACCACAGAGTGTGTGAATATCACAATGTATACCTGGACTGTAGATTTTATATTGCACACCCCTAGTGTGAAATATATGAGTGTAAAAACAAAAGATAACTTGGGCATACAGTTGTAATTCATACTTCATGTACAATAACAGCACATTAAGGCATAGATAAAGATATTATTGACTTATTTTCTGCTCACTAATGATTCCGTCACACTTAAGCAAGCAGCTAATAATATATTAACCCCTCCCCCCAAAAAACAAAGTCACTAAGGCAGAGTCCATCTAGAGTATATTGGCAGACCTCAAAGTGTTAATAAAACGCCAAAATGCTGTGAAATTAACTCGCATTCCAGCTTTAGTTCCAAGTGAACCGAGGCACTGCTGCTGAGAAATGGATAAGAGTGCAACTGTGAGTAAGGGTACTTTGCACGTTGTGTTAATGTGTGTGTGAGGAAGAGGAAGGAACGAGAGAGATGAATGTGTTCCATAGCAGACTGTGTTTAATTACATTCTTAAGAATGGAATATGAAGGCATCAATTATGCCCACTCACCTACCGAATGTTCTGCATTAGGTAAACAGGAGGATACTGTTTACTCTTGACAAATGCGCTCAAGAGAGCATGAATAATTGTGAAGGGCACAACCTCTGCCTTTTACAGATTAATATTTATGAAGGCAATTTTGACTTTTAATTTTCTCTGAAAGCTCTGCAATAGCCAAGGTTTATAGGTGCTGATTGGAGAGAATCAAACTTCTGTGGAAGGATATGACGGTTTAATCAAAATGTTTTGGTTTTCACTCTTTATTTTCCTACTTAAAGCAGGACTGTCCCTGGCCTTTGCTTGGCTGAACTCTTGGATCGATCAGAGCTAACATCACATTTTATTATCTGAGAGGAGAAACTCTCTCTGCCTCTCTCTATGCCTCGCGCACACACACACACACACACACACACACACACACTGCTTCTTACATTTTACCTTTATTCAACCTCATCTCAATAGCGCAGCTCTGCCTTTGTCTGAACTTTCTCATATATAAGTGAACTACTTCTACCCATAGTTCTTAGGTAACTCATGCACTATGTATGGCATCGATCAGAGAACAAACACAGCACTTCCCAGCCTCCTCTGCTCCTCTCGCTTACCCCTGGAGACATTGTTTATCTTGTTTATATGTTGGCCGGGTTGCCTGGTCTTGGTGAAACTGTTTGTTGTTTGTTGCTTCCCCTGGCAAAATCGTGGACAGTGAAGCATCGAAGATATGCGCGCGGTCAGATCTCATTCCTTTGCACTGTTGTATTTCACGCCATCAAACTGCCAATCAACAGTCAATCTGACATACAAAAGCACAAAGAGAGACAGCAGGAGAGGGAGAGGAAGGTAATGCCCTTCAGTGTATGTACAGTGAGGTGAGATCAAGATTGAAAGAGGGTACAACTTCTTTCTTTTCTGCCATGCTGCCAGGTGAACAGGTTGTTATTTCCAGGCTGTCTTTATCACATCATCCCTCATGTCACTGGCAAAATTAAACCCCAACAAACACAAATACCAACAGAGGCAATATAGTCACATTTCTTATCAGCCTCTCTCTGGAGTCAATAGTTCAGATTTCATAGCCATATAACTCCCAATGGGACCAAATGAAAGCAGATCTTTGCAGCTCCTGTTAGTTATTGCTGCAGTTGTGGCTTCACAAATAATTTCATAGACTTATTAGTGACACACGTCTGCATTCAACCCATTATTACCTATAGACAAATTAAACCTCATATTCTTAGTATACTGCAATTTTAATAGTGTCACTTCCCTCAGTGTTGTCGTAGTCAGTTCATTTCACAGAGGGAAAGAAATATGCAAGTCAACACCAACATAAATTTGACTGATCACCTGGACTCTCCACTTTTATGGTGGCAGTGAAAACCTCTATTTCACACATCATCTCAAAATCTCCAATAAACGCTCAACTGAGCACACATGCGGTTATTTAGAGGAGCTGTGCTGAATGTACAAACAGAGGCACAGACCGACGGGTTGCCAGGGTGTCCAATGCCACCGCTAAAAACTGATTGGCCACCCCAAATTAACTCTACAGTAATGCAGCACACACATAATCTAAACTGAGAAAAATCAATGAGCATATAGCCTTAGTTGCAGGACCAAACTGTAGGAAGAACATTAAAAAAGGTATTAAGGTAGTGCAATATAGCAGGCTGTCTGTCTGAATCTGCCTCTCTCTAACACATACAGTGTTGCTACAGAAGACGCAGCCATTTTTATTCAACAACCACTTCACTCACCATGAATGAAATAAATCAGAATGTTCATCATTAGTGAAGATGAAGCACTTTATTCACTGCTATAGACAACATTTCCCCCCTCCATTTAAAGGTTTTATATACGAAATGTACTTGCTACTGGTTGTAGCACTAGAGCACAGAATGTCAGTCCAAAACAACAGGAGCTATGGCCTACCAGACTCTATTGTCAAAACAAGTAATTTTACCAAACAAATAACCATAAAACCCACTTCAAAGTGGACAGAAACAAAACTAAACTCACCAAAACTGTCTTTGTTGGTCTTCCCACAGTCTTTCCAACAATCACCAGTGCTGAAAAAGGTTTGGGTAGGAGCACTTCCTGGACTCAATCCTGAGTTTGCTGGATGTGTTCTTTGGATAAGGTTACTTCAAACTGTAAGGTAATCTCTCTTAAACAATTTAAATGCCTTTATCATCATGGAATGGTCAAGTTAGCCCTAAAAAAAACTAATTCCTACTTGTTTTAACATCAAGCTTTTTTCAGAGTCAAACAGATCTCACAGAACTAACGGCCATTTTGTAGTGGTATTCAACCAATAGAAATCGTCCACTTGGACTTGGAGTTGTGGCCTTTGACATTAAACTCCAGCAAAACGGAGCTGTTTTGCCCACAGTATTCATCAAAAATGAATTACAGGACAACATGATAAAACACAATGGCAATAGCTATGAAACAAGAACAAGTTGATGCTAACAACAAACACACATGTTTAGAGAAAAGCTGTAAAATCTAGGTCCTCCTTTAGGTCTGGGTGTTTAGTGGCCTGTAATTTGTATAGTTTCCTTTGCCTGTCACCTTTGTGTATGGCAGGTGGGATGTGGTCAATGCTAAAGGCTTGTAATGTCAATGGGTTACCGTTATGAAAGTCCATATAGTGTCTAGGAGTAAGGTATGTGTTCTGCTAGTCTGTCCTTGTTCTTCTAATGCAAAAAGACTTGGCGTTAGCCTGGAGATTAAAATTAGTAATGGTAAAATCCCTAAATGTTTGGTCTGTATCACATTTGTGCTTTGCTTGCAATGGTTACACTTGTACTATCACTTGGGTTATACATCAACCAAATGTTTGTTGGGCGTTGGGTTGAAGATGGCTGTGTACCAGTTTATCTTTTTTATTTTATTTATTTTAATTCAGCTTTGATAAATATGGTGGGCAAAACAGCGCCATCTGCTGGAGTTTTATATGATTGTACCCTCTTTAGGCATTTGCTAATTGCCTACCTCAAAGTACATCCACTAAAAGTGCTTGCTTTCACCTCTGACGGGCTCAGATTGTTATTCTAAGTGACAACATTATGTAAAGTATCCCTACAGAGATTGACATTTACCAGAAACAGGCATGATATTGCTATCACTCGTCGCAGTAATTTTACCTTGCATATAATTGTAATCTTAACTTCATTTAAAGTGTAAAATACAAAATATAACACTCTTTGTTTGCTTTTTTACTGTTCACCAACTCTGGTTTTGTAAGAATTAATGTGTAATTCAATAATGTAGATGAGAAAAACAACAGTGTTAAAGCTGCACACAGAGCAGACAGGCTTTGTAAACAAGGCACAGATGGACTGGGATTGCAACACAGGCAAAGGGAGCGTCATTCTCTGCTCAGGACACCTTTACTCTTCTATATCTTTACATAGAAAATTGTTGTTTGCTGCCATATAAGGCTAATGTTTTAAATCTTGCTTATATAAATTTTCATTTTCATCAATTTATTTATATATATATACATATATATATAAGTGTGTAATAAGTGATATCTCTCATTATTTTAGCCAGTTTTTTTGTAATTATACACATAGCTTTTTTAAATGTTTAAAATTGTGTACAAAGTATTGAGAATATCTTCCCATTATTGAGTCATAGCCCCTTTTTGCCTCTAAGCTTCAAAATCCCTTTGCTTCTGTTCATTTCCGTCTCCTCCTCAGTGATTGGCATGGATTTAATAAGGCAAATCAGTGAGGGATAATGGGTTTTACCTGGATTCACCTCATCAGTGTATTCCAAGCGAAAAGCTTATTTAATGCACGTTAAGTGGGCTGTACATATTTGGCACATGGCTAAAAAACGGCTACTTATTCCTCATCAATGGAGAGCTGTCTTTCTGGAATAATAAGCCTGTAAAGAGAAATTTGTGAGGAAATGAAAGTGATCATCTGGAAAAGTTATGCAGACACTCATTAGAATTCACTTTGCCTTCTTCGGGATAATTACGCTGATTACATGTCAATAAACGTTCCCTTCATTAATTCCAAAACTTGTACATCTCAGTCTGCCTTTGATTGTGCTGCTTTTTATGTTTATGATCTCCCTGGAATAGTATTGATGGCGTAGTGGAAAAGCCACTGAAGCAGCATTTAGACAATGGGGTTCTAAAACTGCTTCAATTATTATTGTCATGCAGAAATAAAAGACAAACCAATACTTATGAGGAGATTCCAAAACGAATATATCATCTGTGTTGCTAATATTAAGTAGAGTAGAATTTCATTTGACATGCAGTTATTTCAGTGACTGATTAAATGGTGATATCAGGTTTATGTGATTGATTTCACAATATTAATAGGAATATTTTTGCTTTATTCATATTATAATCTAGCTTGACAGTTCATTCTTGACCTTGAAAACAGCAGTTGTCGACAGCTCCACTCAAGGTCCACATATCCCTTGTTCTGGAGCGTTCGACCATACCACACAGTCTTCACCGTAATGAGTCCGGACCTTGAGTGGGGATTTGCCAACTCATGCTTCCAAGGTCAAAAATGAACTTTAAAGCTCAACTTTAAAGCCAATACGGACAAGAAGTCCTCAGTGTTCAGAATAATGAAAATGATGATGAGGTGATGATGATGAGGCTGAAAGCTCCGTATCAAGTGAGTAAGCAGTATACATTACATAAGGGAATAGTCTGTTCATGTGTCATACAAAAAGACTATAAAATTCTGTGTTCAATCAAAATTCTATATTGCAACAGTGGAGAGAATATGTTACATTATTCCTTAAATTGCTCAAAAACTCAGCTGAGCTCTGTCAAAGATGTCTTTAAACAATTCAAAAGCCTCCACACACATCACATCTTCTGCATTTAACACATATGAAGAAAATAACATAGGACATTGTGGGGTAATAAGCAGCCACCATACAGGTTTATAAGTACTGACCATCAGTAGCTCACGTTAGCTCAGTGACTGTGTGCTGTCCTTTAAGTCCTCCAACTACATTGAAGCCTGAACTGTTTAGAAACTAAATGATAAGTTAGAGTTAATTATTTTTGATTAATTAATAAGGTAATTTATTTCTTGCTAATGTCTTTGTACCAAAAAATTCCAACCCACACTCCAGTTAAATACAGACGTTAGCCTTTTATGTCAGCGGGAATCAGTTTTAAGGATACAGACTATATAACAAGCATTGCTAAAGTGTGTGTGGGTCGTGTTAAATGCTTACTCATACAGCGCTCCTCTCGCCTTCCTGTCTTAAACTTCTTAAATCACAGGCGTCACAGTAGCAGCTGGAAGTCGCTTCTATTCAAATGCTGCAGTTCCCCTGAGTGCACATGGCAGATTGTTAATTACAACAAGTCTGGGGGAAAATTACTTTATCGATTTGCATCAGACCAGCTATTCTGAGAGAGAATACAGAGCGGCTGAGGCTGAATTTGACTGAGTCTGATGTTTATACAAAACAACCTCTTCTGTCCGAGCTGCCGTAGCGAGTGCTTTCTGTCACTTGCGACAAATTTACCTCAGCCCAATAACGTCTGTATCAGTAATGCATCGTTGCGCTTTGCTGCTGAGGTGAAGTCACCCAGCTTTGGCACTCAGCATTCCTCCATATGTCTGACAGTGTCTGATATGGCACTGCTGTCTGTTTGGCTGCGCTACCACTGGGAATGCTGCAGAATTCAGGGAGGGAAAGGAGGGAAGGTTGTGCAAGAGGGGTTGAGGGGCAAAGCAGAGTGGAATGAAAGAGGAAAAGATTGAATACACAGGGAGAGTGGGGGTGAGAAAGAAATAAACAGAGGTCAGGGGCCCTACAGGGAAGAAGACAGGGAGACAAAATCTAATGTGCCAAGGCCAGAGCCAGATAGACAGAGCCACTCTGGGCAATGGAGACATCAGGACTGACAGAACTGGCCTGAGTCCAGGTAAGAAAAAAAAAACGACAGGCTGTACAGGGAATTAACTGAACGACCAGGGGCATGGCTTCAACAGCCACGTCTGGAGAACTGACAACTGTAGATGAGCCAAGAGACACTGAGGAAATATGTCAGGCAATCAGCTAAAGCTGACAAGCATAGCCGTGGTTGCTAAAAATCTATTGACTCGACAGGAGCTGCCTGCTTGATATGTTTCTCAAGGAATGCCTGGTGAGGTGTGGGTAGTGCGGTCCGTCCAGTATTAGTTTTGCTTGTGTTAAGCAATGAATTGAAATTTCAGTAGTCGACATGCAGAGCAGCATAGAAGGCAGTGGCGGCTCCAGAGATTTTCTGTTGCAGGTGCTATGGGGATGCTC